TTTATAAGTTATATAAACTATATATGTAACCTATAGTTTATAAGCAATAGTTTATATTAGTGTACTATATAGTTTATACTTTATAACCTATTGTATATAATTTATAAACTATAGTTTATATTAATGTTAATTATCTTAACTATAATTTATATTATATAGTATATTTTTTATAAACTATACAAAATAATTTATAACATATTTTATATTAATATTAATTTTAGACTATATTTTATATTAATATTAATTACAAATTATAAACTCTATTATATTAATATAAGTTAATATTAATTATAATATATAATTATTTTAATATTAATTATAATATATAATTATTTTAATATTAATTATAAATATCATTTTCTCTCTCCTCTTCCCGCCAAACCCTCCCTCCTTTATTTTCGGTCTCTATTCTTCCCCACTCATCATCCAAAATTATGTTTCCCTCGTTTTGCCTCTTCTTCCCCACTCAGCATCCAAAAGTTGCCGAACACGGGTCAGTAAGGGATCTGAGTTGCAGGCTCAGTTGAACTCGGTTCTGGAGGAGTTGAAGACAACGATTACCCTTTTCTGTTCTCTTGCCACTCGCTGAGTCCGCCCGGTTATTTTAACCCCCTCTCGCCCTATTCTCACACTCTCTCTCCAATTTTCTCTGCTTCCAAACAACATTTGTTCTCTTTCGTTACTAATAATCTCTTTATTGTTCCCTGTTTTGGCTATTTCTAAAGGAGAGGTGGAGATCCGTTTATCTTTTTAACTTTCTGGGTAAGGTTAGATTCTTCATGTAAATCTTCTCTCTTTAATTCTTTTGGTGGTGAAGTTTCTTCCCTTGATTTTGATTTGTTTGATTATTAGTGATAGATATTTGGATCTGGTACCCATTTTTTGTTCCAAAGTAGTTTTTTTTAATTGTCAGAGAAACCAAGGACATTGGTTCAAACTATTTCACTAGTTTAGAATAATGATTTATGTTCTTGACGTTGCAACCAACTGGATGTTTCTGATACACTTAAGGCTCTCTGCAACTGGGTTAATTTGGATTTTTTAATTGTAAATATGACATGCAAATTTCGTGTGCCAGAACCTATAAGGCAGGTAATCCAAGTTTGTTGCTTTCTGGTAAAATTATGAATCTGTTCGGGCAAATTAGCATGAAACCAATTCTGTGAAATGCTTAATCTTTTAGCTTGTTTGATTTATTGTATATTGTTTGTCGTAGTCTTAAATGAATATGTGGAAGTACACTGGTATTTGCAATTCTTATATGATATAGTTTAGTCACTGGGATCAATTATTTAGAAATAAGAAACTTGAACCTTTATTATTATTATTGTTCTTTTAGCTTTGTTGCTTTGGCAATATGTTTGTGGAGCTACGTATTGTTAGTTTTTTATGTGCATCAATTATTTTTCAGATTATTACATTTGATAGCTATGGTGTTTCGGGGCATTGCAACCATGGTGATGTGCATCGTGGGGCAGTGTAAGCTAAAATCATTTCATATTCTTCAACTCAATTGCACAGAAGTAACATTTTAATTGTTCATAGTATAAAGCATTAGAAGAAAATAAAATGTGTTATTGCCTACATATAACTATTTAATGAGAACTCACCTTTTCCATAATTTTTTCATTATTATTTGAAAAGAGAATATTTAATTTTTCTTTTAAATTTTTAGGGTGTTTAATGGTCCATGAAACTATTGGAATTGGAGATTATGTCTTATTTATTCCCTTCAAAGGTAACTTAATATTTTATATTTATTATGTTTATTTAATAAAAATTTCAAATAGTTCATTAATAATTTTTTTTGTAGGGTGCCTTGCAAGAAGCAATATTTGGTGCTTGATTTTGCATTATTCTATTTTATATTGTTTGCTTCTGTTTGATATTGTTTGTTTCTACTTGATATTTGTAAGGGTTTGGTAAAGTCGGAAATGTTTGGCACTGTTGGTCATCGAATTCCCTTTGGCTTTATCACTGATTGTATGTTTTCTTAATGCATGATGCTTGTTGAATTGATGCAATAATGCTTGATGAATTGGTACATTGATGCTTGCCGGTTGCTGCTGCCTATTACTCATTGATGCCTTGTAAATTATTGTTGTTGGTGTGACTCAAATCAATTTTTGAACATTATAAATTCTTATCTAAATAGTTATTCATGTGGAATTATGATGGTGACATTTTGACTTTTAAAGCTAGAAAGTTGCATATAATTAAACATGTTGGCAACATTTTGGTATAAAGGCTCGATGATGATATTTCTGATAATATAGTCATGCTTTTAGCCTTGTAAAACTTTAGCTATAAGATTTGAGAGCATTTATTTCAACATAAATTTATTTTGTTTAGTTGATTTTATTGTAATTTTAGTGTTTTCGAGTATAATAAAATTAATTTCATTTATAAATTTTTTGTTTTAGTATTTGTAATGTTATTCAAATTTCAAATATTTAATAAGTTCATTATTTTAATTAATATATTTTTTATTTTAAAATTTCAAGTTAAGTTATACTTAAATTATTAATTAATTTTCACATTAAAAGTAAATTAGATTTATGAATATTTTAACTTAATTAATATAATTTAATAAAATCAAGTTCAATAAGATAATATTTAAATTTAATTTAGTGATTGTAAATATTGTTGTGTGATGCTCATAATTTAATTAATATTCAGCTATTATCAATTTAATTATTAATCATGTTTAATATTAACATTCAGTTATTATCAATTTAATTATTATTTTATTGCCAAAATTATTCTTATTATTAATGTAAACGATTAATATATGTTACATAATAAATACTTTTATTATTAATATTATTTTTTTCTTTATATAAATTAAAATATATAATTTATATAAATTAAACTATATTAATTTTCCTTTTGCATTATTAATAATGTTTTATCTAATTTACATTTAAATAATTTTATTAAATAATTTTATATAATAGGTCTATTTATTAATATAAGTATCATAATAAATATTTTATTATAACATTTAAAAAGTAATCATATTAATATTTTAATTACATCATAAGCTAAAAAACTGATAATTTATAAGGTTTTCATGGTAATATATAAGTCAGGTAAATATCAGATCAGATCATTAACAAGTCGAATCATTTACAAGTCAGGTTAAAAACAGGTCAGGTTAAAAACAGGTCAAGTTGAAAATAAGTCAGGTTGAAAACAGGTCGGGTAATACCAGTTATTTACCAGGTCAATCTCGGGTTCGGGTTCATATTAGTCGGATGCAGTTCGGGTTCGGGTATCATATTTTCGGTTCCATTCGGGTTCAGGTCGTTTTCAGGTCGAATGCAGGTTGGGTTCGGATCCACAATTTCCAGGTCCAAATCGGGTTCAGGTCAACACTAGTTCCGACTCGAGTCGGTTTCAGATCGCCACAGTACAGGTCAAAAACAATTTTGACTCAGATCGATTTCAGTCAGTTTTGCAGGTCGGATCAACTTTTTACACCCTACCTACCATGGCCTGTTAAAATAAAATGGTTGTCACTTTTTCCCATATATATAAGGTAAGGGGAAGGTAAGATAGTAGGTTATCCCCAACATCAAATTAAGAGCAGCTTCCGTAAGAGACCTCCCTTTTTTCCATATATATGGCCTGTTAATACACGTTAAATGTTTTAGATGGACATTTGAGAACAGTAAGGGCATTGAATCCAAGCTTTTGTTGTACAGCACCAACCCGGCATTATCCAATTGAAATCCAAATCCAACAACTTTTTAACACCATCTACCTGTGTTCCAACTGCCAAAAAAAAAAACATAATGATGAACACATGTTCAACTAGAAATAGCTTTTGTTTATTATTTATAACATTCTTTAAAAAAAGCAAATTGCAAAAAGCAAGTTTCATTTTTGACAACCTACGGTACATTTCATAAAAAAAATTACAATAATATTATTGTTTAGTATTTTACAATAATTTAATATTTTTATAATAAAATTGGAGTTCATGTTAGTTTTAGGTAGAGATGGGCACAAGACGGGATGAGCCAGTTTTTTTATCCATGATCTGAAAATATATAACTTATATCCGATCCTTCTTGAATCTGTCTTGATTTTCATATTAAAATTTCAATCCCAAGTTGATCTTAATATATTAATATTTAAAAAATAAAATAATATATTTTTTATAATATTTATTATATTTTAAAACTAAAAAACTAAAAATATTATATATATGGATTAGATCGGGTCAAAACCCATCGGTTTCCGACATTTTAAGCATTCTACTTTTACAATAAAATTACAAGAAATGGTTTAATATTTTTATATATTATATCAAATAAAAAATAAAATGTTTTTAAGTTAAATAACCGAAGTGAGGCAGTGTTGGGTCAATCACATTTTGTTGGAGGGAGTGCATTAGCGCTGACTTGCATTGCAAGTTTATGTTTTTTTTTTTTATGTTTTCCAGAATGCTCTGGTTAGAGTTTACTTATCCTAAACTGTAGTTTGGTGTTTATAAGTTGCACATACTAACCAGCTGTTCTCTTGGGATTGTGGATTTGCTTGTGTTTTGATAGCTGTGAGGACTGCTGTTATAGTATTGAGCTTTGCTGTACAACCAGGTATGCTGCCTGTCATTACAATGTAATGTATGAGAAGAATTATACAAAATTATGAAATTTTGAAAGTGAATTTGGATATAAAAACCCATTTCTGATTAATACTTTTTGGTGGCTGCAGCATGCAAAAGTATTATGTTAGAACACGTATTATTACAGCAGTTTGATCGCTCTAGTTTTTTTTTCCTTTGAGATGTTTATAGCCACTAGTATTTTTATCTTCAAACTTAATATCAAACCATGTCCCTTGTTGCCATCGAAAATTCTTAACATCTGCACCTACCTATTTTATACTAGCAACTTTTCATCTTTCTCCAAAGGGTAGGAGAAGCCACACAGTTGACCTAACAAAACAGATTTTGATTACATTTCTTCTCCTTTGAATTAAATCCAACAAAAACGCAACATAAATTATTCCGTAAGTTTTTGAAGCTCTAAATACTAATATAAACAGCATGCTGGTTTAAGGAACAATAGTAGCTCGGGTGAGACATGATTATCTAAACCGAAAACAACCCTTTTTTGCTATAGGTTCTCACGATGGTATGTTGAAGTGGAAGAGCCAAGAGATTACAAAGGCAAAGACCATACAAGCTAGTAGGAAATTCAGAAACCGATGGCCCTGCCAGAAGTTTCTCGATTCTGCACCACGAATTGCCATGGGAGCTGCTGCTGATGCGGAATCATTCGAATCGTTCCACTGCTCCATCATCTCCAACTCGTCCGGACCAGCGACATTCCGAGCAGTTGTTCCACAAATCTCACAAATTCTTGGAAAGTCATTGCAGCCATATAAAAATAACATAACAAACAAATAAGACATCGAAGCATATAAAGGAGAGTATTCATCTAGGGAATGTATATTTTCAGAAATATAGTAGACGAAACAATAGAACAAGAAATATACGAGGTAAATATATGGATCTGGTAAAGGTAACACTAACAATATTCCATTATACGTCTGTAATATTCAAAGTCGATGTCGTTTATCAGAATCATTTTTTTCTAGAGTAACTTTAGAACTCTTAGGATTCAGAATATCCAATGTTTCACAATGATCATTCCGACCACATCAGTAAATACGCCTGCAACAACAACGATATAAAAGAAAACAAGATACAGTCTGTGTATTAGCTGCTTTTGCCTCAACTTAATTACGAAAACTGAAGACATAGAAAGGAAGCATGTCAACGTATGCCGTAGGTAAAGGTGCTGCAAGAGAATGATCAACACCTATGTGATGTTGGGGAAACACTGTTCAAAATCATGCAATTCTCTTATCAAATAAACTTCAAATAGTGCAGCATATTCGAACTGAAATCAAAGAAAGAAAGCAACAAGATGTGCCGATAAATCAACTGTTTCTAATGCGAAATCATTGTCGACAACTAGCAACTTACCAAAATCTTCATAGTGGATACGAAACTATAATGCAACAACATTTATCATGATTATATAATAAATCTCAAGGGCAAACCACCCGGCTAAAGTTTTCGTCTATTGGCACAATTTAACCTTCCACATAAAACAGACTAAAATTCAAAAAGAGAAACATCTTGGTGATTCCATCTTTTGCTTTTATATTTAAACATTATCGTCTGATTCCCCTTATTCAATACATGAAATGCCTTAAATCTTTCTCTTTATTCCAACAATGAGGAGATATAAATCTTGTTTAGATCCCCACTAATATATTTACAACAAAGATTCCCCAGATTTCACACAAAGATTCACTAATGCAGAGCAATTTCTCAATCTACAAACTATACAATCTTCAATGGAATATATTACACATTTTGTATAACCCTTGCATTTACACTAACATTCAGAAGAATAAACCATGCGAATAATGATATAAAACAAGTGGAAAAACAACCCAGAAAATCAAATAAAGCAAAAATCTTTACCTGTTTCCCTTAATTTTGAACCATGCCTCGGCACACTGTTTATGAGCAGCAGCCAAATCATCCTTACAAGAACATCCCAACTCTATAGGCAAATCACATTCTTGATTACTTGGGTCCAAGCTGAGATGGCAAATCCTGCAATCTCTCTCCACATTCTCCAAATGCAGCTTGGTTTCTGACTCCAGATACACTTCCAGTGAAGAAACCGAAGATCTCCTCTCCTTGATGATCTCGGTCGTCCCAGATTTTGCTTTGTTCGAACAAGACGAGGAACAACTTCTCCTGTCTTCTCCTTCTTCTTCGTTGTCTGTCTGGCTCACTTGCTCTTCTTCTCCTCCATCGTCAATGTCGATGACAACGACAGCCCCTTGCTGTTGTTTCGGTAAAGCTTCCATTTTTTTTCAAGACCCAGACTGTGAATCTTCCATGTAAATTCTTCTCAGCACACAAAGATCATCGAATGCCTCAGCTCATTTAGACATTGAAGTACATCATCAGTGGAAAAGAAGTGATTTTTGTTAGATATTGAACACCAAAGGTAACTATGTTTTTAACTTTTTACAAGTGTGCTAGTAAAGTCTTAGCAACTGACTTGTCTGATTTTTTTCTCTCTTGTTTGTCAGTTCAGAACAAGACACGGAAGACAGAGAGAGAGAAAGGAGGGAAAGAGAGAACATTAATGTATACAAATAAAATAGTGAAACATGCAAGACAAAATGTAGAAAATAAGGTGGACTTTGATTCGTTAGAATGTTAAAGAGAAAATTGAAATTTGTAAATGAATTGAAATATGTAGGAATTGAAATCTAATTTCATATTCTGTTTGGTTGGCAGAAAATGGAATTGGAATTTAATTTCATATTCGGTTTGGTTCGCAGATATGTCAGATAAATTTGATTTCAGTAATATAAATGACAGAATTGTCCTTCTTATTTTTTTGTTTTATTTTAGTATATTTTACAACTTACATGTAATATATTATAAAAAATTAAAAAATATTAAATTTTCATTTTATTGATTGATTATTCATTTTATTGATTGATTATTTATTTTAATAAATTATAAAAATCATGCTAATAAATATTATAAGTTAAAATCATCGCAATCAAAATATGTTAATAAGTTACAAAAGATAGAGCAATATTTCGATACATTCTAATCGGAGTATATTAATTAGTTACCAAAAACTATTTTTACTCAATATATGAATTAGAAACTCGACCCGACACGACTCAAAATAATAATAAAATGTTTTTATTCAATTAAAACATTGACTTAATTGAAAAAAATTATATATAGAGGGGTATTATTGTAATTATTCATAAATATATAAGGTAAAATTATATATTTTTTTCGGGTCGGTCCGGTTTTTTTCACCCTAAACCCGAACCCGACCCGACCTAACCCGAATATCACACTTAAAAAACCCGACCCTAACAAAATAAAGTTTCATCAACCCGACCCGACCCGGCCCGACCCGAAATAATAAAAAATTATTTTTATTTAATAAAAACAGTGACTTAATCCGACCCGACCCGAATTATATATATTTTCGGGTCAGTCCGGTTTTTTTCACCCTAAACCCGAATCCGACCCGAATATCACACTTAAAAAACCAAACCCGACCCGAACAAAATAAAGTTTCATCCGACCCGACCCGAAATAATAAAAAATTATTTTTATTTAATAAAAGCAGTGACTTAATCCGACCCGACCTGAATTATATATATTTTCTGGTCGGTCCGATTTTTTTCACCCTAAGTCCGAACCCGACCCGATCCTACCCGACCAAAATAAAGTTTCACCCGACCCGACCCGAAATAATAAAAATTATTTTTATTCAATATATGAATAAGTTACCAAAAGATTGATGAGGGTATTATGGTCAAATTTCAATTCCCTCCAACAAGGGAATTGAATTTCATCAGGGATTCCAATTCCCTTGAAAAACTTGAACCAAACATAGGAAAGTGGTAGAATTAAATCCAATTCCCACCAATTCCAAGGGATTCCATCAAACCAAACGTCACCTAATGGTTTTTTTTGCTATTAATAAAAAGGTAAACTACACGGGTGACTACTAAATTATAATCAAAAATCATTTTGATCACCTATATTTCAATTTGATCAAACATACCAATTAACTATTTAAATGATTCATTTAAGCCACTCTTCGTTTATTTTTAACGGAGACGGTGACATGCTAGTTAAAAAAATTGATATAATTATATATTTAGTCCTCGATATTTATGTATTATGTCAATTTAGTCCTAAATTTAATTTAATATGAAAAATTAACCCCCAATCTGTAGGTGCCATTTGTCACTACATTATTGGAGGTTAATTTAATTTAATATTTTAATTAAATATTTTTGCTCACCAATTAGATGGTGACACATTTCACCCTTATGTAAAGAGAAAACAAAATTACATTGAGTGCTTACCAAGGATGTTAAACTATGGATCTTCAACCTTGGGCAAGTCTTTACCACTGAGGCAAACTTCAATTTTGAAATCAACTAGGACGGGTTTTTATATATTTTGTTTGTGTGTGTATATATATATATATAGAAAATCCAAAATCACAAAATAACTTAAATCACCAAAAATATTATAATCTGAATCTTAAATTTTTGCCTTCAATTTTTTTTAATTATTTTTCATTTATTTTAAATTTATAATTATTTGAAAATAATTGTGGAAAAGAAATTTTTAATTTAATTTAAAATATAAAAAATATTATATTCATTTTTATTTTTAAATCATTCATTAACTAAAATTGAAATATACTTTATTTATTTGCTAGATATTTTTTAATAATTATATATAAATATATATGGGCTTAAATAATGGTAAACAAAATATTTAAAGCATTCATGTTAATTTTGTTTTCTCTTTACATAAGGTGGTGACATGTGTCACCACTTGATCAGTGAGAAAAAATATTAAATTAAATTAAATTAACCCTCCAATAATATATAGTGACACGTGGCACCTTCGGATTGGTGGTTAGTTTTTAAAATTAAATTAAATTTAAGACTAAATTGATAAAATACGTAAATATTGATGACTAAATATGTAATTATGTCAATTTTACTAACTGACACGTTACTATCTCCGTTAAAAATTAACGGAAAGTGGCTTAAATGAATCATTTAAATAGTTGAGTGATCTACTTGATCAAATTAATACATTTGTAGTCAAATTAATTTTTAATTATAGTTTAGTGATCACCCGTGTCGTTTACCCTAAAAAAAGTAGTTGTTTTTTTTAATTGCTACAGTTGGTTTAATGCGCCATGGAAATAGAATTGGACAGCCTAAGAGTTTGGCAAGAGGAGGTGGTGTTAGGCTTAGGACACCTTTATTAGTATGGAAAGTCGAACTCACCCAAGCTTTTTTAATAGAAAATTTACAGTTGAGTTGGGTGTTTCCGGGGCTCCTGGGAAAAGGCAGAGACTTTGTTGATTAGAGCAGCAACTTTTATAATCATATCCATACAGGTTTATTGGGACGATTTATTTTTATAGGGATGATATCATATAAATCTTAATACTTAAGAACAGTCATAGGCCGTTTTCATAGCCTAAGTTCAGCAAATTGGTCAAAGTGGCAATGTGAAGGCAGACAAAGCAGCGTCAGACATGGACCTGCTTCAATTATACACATTTCTACATGACAAGAGCCACCAATCTCTTCTATCGTGGAGTATTATACTTCAGTATGATATTAATAAATATATCAATGAAAATGAAATGAATTTTTTTTACCTATTGTTTGTGAAAGCATACTCTACACGTAACTTCAAGAAAAAGCTCAACTTTGAGGGAAGAAATAATAATCCAACCAGCACCATATGCTTCTACCGCTTTGCCGTTACCACAATTCTCATTATTATAAAGTATAATGATCACATTCACACTTGAAACTTTAAAATAAAAATAAATACTTTAAAAATTAAAACATTTAAAGACTTCAATTTTATTATGTTAAATAAAGATTTCATTGAGATCTAAAGAGTGGTTTCGGTGACAATTTTTTTCGGAAGTTGTTAATTATGATTTACAATTTTGTAGTGTTCTAATAAAAAATCATTTATGAAAATAAATAAATAAATAAAATCGCTTTGCAGCTTTCGAAATAGGTCTGGGATGTTAAGCCTCAAACTTTGTTTTATGATTCCCTTAATTGCCTAATCAAGTAGGTATTGGTTAATCAAATGCATGATTCAATGGGCCTAAACGAACCTCATATGAAATTCTGGTTTGGATGGATTTGGCCAACACTGGACCAATTTATTAGGATTTCCTTGAAAGGGCCTTACTCCAATCCATGTGGTTTTTAAGTAGGTTTAAACACTGGACCAATTATATGTACATATATAATTGCGACATTGAGGATCCAAATATATATATAATTTCTCATTGTAAATCATTGTTTTCATTTTTTTGTTCCTGTAGGTATTATTTTAATTTAGAAAATGTTGTGTTTAATAATAATAAAAACTTGTTTGGTTCTTGTTTAACCCTTTTTAATAATTGCCGCCCAAACAGCAATTACAACTAGGGGTGCAAATGAACAGAGCGTTCGGTGAACTATTTGTATAACGTTTGTTTATTAAGTTAAACGAATGAGTATGAACAAATTTTTTATGTTCGTTTAATAAACGAACGAACAAGCTCGTTTAATTTTTTTTTTATAATTTTAAACATTAGTGAAGGCACATTCTAAATTAAATACATGCTAAAATTTGAAGTTTAAATTATGAATACTAAAAAGTTTAAGATCGTTTATGTAATTTTACCATTTTTCCTAATTGTAACACAAAAACCCTTTTCCAGACGTTCATCTCTTCCATTCTTCCTTTCCCCTTTTCACAAGAACTCATTTCCAGCCGTTCATTTCTTCCATTCTTCCTCCCCCCCCCCTTTTTTTTGAGATTTATAAAACCCTAAACTATCATTTGTGCTTCTCCCTTGTACATGGTATATTTTGTCTCTTCACTAAAATATATTTGCGACGTTAACTTAAAACTGCTCTTGTTTGTATAATATGTTAATTTTGCCTTACAATTGAATATTTGCACCAAGTGGTGCTCTGATTTCCTGACATTCATACTTTCATCTCTTGATTGTCTTGTTTAAGCAATATGTAATACTATTAATATATTTTAAGATTGTATTTTGTTATTGTAGATGTTATATAAGTTTTATTAGGTGATTATGTTTAATTTGTAATTTTCTATTTGTTTGGTAATATTTTTGAACATGTTCACAAACATGTTCGTGAATGCTAAACGAGCATTTTCACGAAGGCTAAACGAACATGTTCATAAACATTAAACGAACGCTAAACGAACATGTTCACGGACTTTAAACGAACGCTAAATGAACATGTTCGCGAACATTTAAATGAACATGTTCGCGAACATTTAAATGAACGTGTTCAAGAACGTTAAAAGAACACGTTCATAAACGTTAAATAAAAGAACACGTTCGTGAACGTTAAATGAACGAACACGAATATCTTCAAAAATAAATAAACTAATACGAACATTATATGGAAAAAAAATTAAACAACACGAACCGAACATGAACACCTTTAAAAATAAACTAATGAATACAAATATAATCTTGTTCCATAAAGCTCGGTTC